CATGGAATATTTTTAATATTAGTAGTTTTATTTAAAAAAGCCGCGCGACCATCAAGGTCGAATACCGTTAAAATTAGGTCTAATCATCAAAATGACAAGTGAGAGTGCATTCGTACGCATCATGACCAATGTTTAGCGTTTACACGGTGTCCCAGACGGAAATCATACCAAGCAGTTTTTTCAATACCTGTTAAAGTGTTTTCAAACTGTGTATCTTTCAAAATATTTCGAATCTGTGGCTCAACAAAAATACCTTCTTTAACCTTTGCCTCACTTAGTCTTGGAAATTTCTGACGCAGGTATTGAAAAGCTGACCCATCTCTATCTAATGCCTTGACAAAGTTTTTCATTAGGCCCAACTTGATATGCAGTGGTGGTAATAAAATTTTTTTCGAATCTACTAATGGCATATGCTGTACATTTTTTTGACCTGGCTCTAGGAATTGACGAACAGGCCAGTTTTGTCTGGTGTAATGAAGTGCCTTTGCCCGACTGTCCCATTCACACAAAAAACAGCAAAACTTTGTGTAGCCTAGCTGCAGCCCAAGTAAAAGTGCAACAACTTTCAAATCGCCACAAATATGCCATTGGTGCTCATCGTATTTTATGAATGTCAATAGGTACTTCATATTGTCATATGATTCTTTCATGTGAACTGCATACCCTACAGGAAGAGATGGTAACATATTTCCAATATGCAATAACACTGCCTTTAAACTCAATGTTGAACTGTCTATAAACAATCTCCATTCTTCTGGGTTATAGTTTATATTTAAAACCGCCAGTAAGCCGTTAATGTTACTGCAGAAAACCAAGTTATTCTCCATATTGAAAAATGGTTCTGTCTTTGTGGCGTTTACGAAAAACACATACCGAAACATCGTCTTCTAACAAGTTCCACTGCTGCAGTCTTGATCCAAGTAACTCTGCCTTACATTTTGGAAGTTCTAAATCTCTTACAAGATCATTTAATTCTGACTCTGTTATTTTGTGCGGTTGGTGGCATGACGTGCTCGGTATAAAATCAGGATCTCTTGACGTTGATGGCATATCTTCTTCCTGACGAATCACTCGATCGCCATGATCTGATTCGTCTTCTGATTCGTAAGTGTAGGATTCTGGGGGTTTTGGAATAGGATTTTCGTCACTGTGAGGCACAGGTCTCATCGCAGATAGTATGTTTGGGTAGTTAATAACCGATTTTTTTTTCTTGGACATACCTGTGGCTTGTCCAACACAAGGTACCATGCAAAAGTAACAATCATTAATATGATTTGTAGGCTCTCTCCAAACCATTGGGACAGCAAAGCGCATAGACCGATTTTTGCCATTTAACCAGCTCCTCAGACTTGAAGCACATGTATTACAGCAGATGTGGGGTGCCCTCTGAGACGCAAAAGTCACATCACCACACACGTAACAAAACTGATCTGGATTGTTTACACACTTTCGAGACATCTTGCATGAACGCTGTCAGCCAACTGAGGAAAAAATGGCTAATATAAAACAATATAATGTACACGTATGTATAACGTAACACAATCATGCCGATTACATCATCTTTCCTTGCCGAATATAAAAATGTAGCACGTGCATTCTTGTGAATTACAGTATATTAACACTGTCACAGCAGGAACACATATAATTACCGTATCTCTAAAACTTCAACTAATATTGAAAACATAAGTTTCATTCCGGTTTTAGCACATTAAAAATAGTAATATTTTGTTGATTTTATTTAGGATATTTTTTGGCTGTTGATCAGTGTAATTGCCTCTGAAAGTTGTAATAGATTATGGCGAGAAAATGTTCTCGGTTGAGTTCCATTTTGCTAATGACGTGGTGATATTTAAAAATTCACTGTGGTGGTATTGATGTGAAACTTTGAGTTTAAGTTTACTAAAGAGCGAGGTTAAGATTCAGTACTGACGTTCGATCCGCGCGGCCTACTATGTTTCTGTATGCAAAACTTAAAAGACATCCCTTGTAAATGATTGTTTGGGACTAACAGAAATTCATATTTTAAAAGAATCGAATTGTTCACCATGTTTTACCCCTCCAAAAAGTTTGAGAGGATTTAAATTTTTCGTTTTCCTAATACAACGGTTTGATAATATTTTGTTTTGTTCAAAATAAATTACCGGTCGAAGGTAAATTGCGACAACACTGTGCGCAGGCCCAGGGCGCATTGCCATGAGGGGCGCATAATTGTCAATCAAATGCGGATTCAGAGAGATCGTGACTCCCCGCTGGGCGTATCGAACCGACCAGCCAACGCCACCCCCCCCCCCCCTACAGCCTGTTTTTCAGCTGTCAGCCTCTTGAAGCACTGATGTAGATTTTTATTAATTTTCCATAGCCGTCCTTCCCTAGAGACGAATATCTTCGTAAATATGACCCCTCTATAACTTACCTAGCGCATCGGATTTTGATGCAACTTTCACACAATGTACCTACTATACCAGGGATGACGAAACGTTATCTTTGAAAATCGTCCGAGTGGCGGTTGAGGGAGAAGCAAAAACCGCAAAACAAAATCGCACCACCTTATTTTTTTAACGATCCAGAGGCACCTGATCATTTTCGGAAAAAAGTTGTAGGGACGTTTCTTGATGTTACTACGAGCCTCTTCCCACTTCAGTTGGCCCAACTATTGACATCTTAGTTTTTTTCTTATCAAACACAAATAATAAAAATTTGGCAGTGTGTTATAGGTTTAAAATATTAACAATGAATATTTTGATAATATATAGTAGAAAACACCAACTTTATCACTCCCCAATCAAATTTGCAGCATAAAAATAACACATGTTGCAATTACAGCATATCAACCTATTTTCATTTCAATGCAAAATAAGTCTATACCGCATAGGTGGCTGTGAAAAATAAAAGCCATGGCAATTGTTTTTATTAATCACAGCTGTCAGAATACGTTTAAAATAGTTTTGGGTAGTTAAGGTTTTCAAAATGGGTAGAGGAAAGGTTATTAGTGAGAAAGTTCGGTTACTGATAATTAAATTTTTTAATTCTGGGAAATCAAACTCAGAAATTGCAACTTTGTTAGACTTATCGCGGTACAGTGTGAGAAATATTGTTAGAAGATATAACGTAATTGGTTCAGTTAATATTAAGCCACGATATGTGAAAAAAGTAATGTCACAAATGCCGACCGAAGAGCATTAAGAAGAATAATCGTGAAAAACAGGCTTGTCAATTATTTACAATTAAGTGCTCTGTGGAGTGACGCTGTTGGAAGGAGAATTTCGAGGTCCACAACTCATAGAGAGGCCCACAAACTGGGATTTAGCACTTGCAAGGTAAGTTTTCTTATAAAAAAAAGTGAAGTAAAACCCTAAAGTTGCACAACTTGTTTATAGGCCAAAGAAAAGCCACTATTAGCTCCACTGCAAAAGAAAAATCGGCTTAGATGGGCTCAAGAACATAGACAATGGACACCTCAACAATGGTGTGCAATACAATGGAGTGATGAGGCCCGATTCGAAGGTTGTGTTGGTGAGAAGCTGTTTTAGATTTACATATGGCCTGGAAGGAACTTAACCAGCAAACTATTCAAAAATGTTGGAACAATCTCTTTTGTACCAATAATGAAGATGATGAAGAAAACGATGTCCCCTTAAGCGTAATTAGAGAACGTTTGCGATCCAATAATGATAATGTTATTAGTGTGTCATTGGATGTTGTTGATTTATTGAAAACAGTGAATACCAACATTGTTTGTACTCCTGCTGATATTAATTTATGGAACGAAGATAAGCAGACGAATGATGCTGATAAGGAGGAGGATATGGACAGTGAGGATGATGAGAACGATCCCATTGAAGTCAGAAGTGTAGTGACTAACGCGCAAGCTATACAAGTTTTTAACCAAGCTTTAGATTGGGCTGAAAGAAAGGAAGTTTCATACACGGATATTTTAGTTCTTCGTAAATTACGGGCGTAGGCATTGGAAGACAATGCTTAGCGCAAATTTACGCAGACAAGAATTGTTGATTATTTTTCTTCTAATAAAAAAAATACTTATCGCTGTTAGAATATTTGTTTATTTTGTTATAAATAGTATGTATTAAAGGTTTCCTTTAATAAATCAAATATTATTTAAATCATGTTCGCTAATGTAAACATTTCGATAATGTGAACCACACTTGGATTAAATTAGTTTACATTATCGAGCGTCTGCTGTATTTGGCAATTTTAGAAGAATCGCTTTTACCAGTGATGGAAGAATGTTTGACATGCGGCCAATACTTTGTGTTTCGGCAAGATGGTGCAGCGTGCCATACCTCAAAAAAGGCTATAAAAAGGATGGAAGAAAATAATGTACCACTTTTGAAATGGGTTTCTAGCAGTGCAGATCTGTCACCTATTGAAACTTTGTGGCACGAGATGAAAAAGGTTTTACGACAACATCCTGCTCGTACAATCACCGAACTGAGGCAAAAGCTTCAAGAAATATGGGATTGTTTTACACCAAATTTTTTCCAAAACTTGGTTAACACTATGCCCCAAAGAATTTCAGCCGTAATAAAAAATAAAGATGATGTTACCCAATGGTAATCTTTCAATTGTTGCTTTGTTAACTTCGCGCATTTATTCGCACATTGTTTATTTGTTCAGATGTTCTATTAGTTATTGGTCTAAGTGATTTCAAATATGTATTTTTTACGACTAGAAAATGTCTTTGAGAAAATAAATTGTTTTAGAAGTAAATAGTTTCGTCATGTTTAGTTTATAAAGGCATATTTCGGTACAAATCTTGAAGTGGGCCAACTGAACTGAGAAGGGGCTCGTATATTTACATGCTCCCAACTCTGGTGATTCTACGCACCTATTTGGCATATATTCATTTATTTAAAAAAAGACTTGCATTTGCGGCAATACAAAATTCAGTTAACCCAAGTGACCATGAAAGTCGCCGACAATAGAGTCATGCAATTACACAAATATTCAAGATACATACCAGTCAGGTACATATCGGTCACCCTACGTTGCCTGATGAACGGTGGGACAGGCAAAGAATGTCTATGGGCTAACTGTATGTGCCTGTTGGACTGACTCGATCCGTTTAATCCCTCTGTTTTACGTGTACAAAACTACTTTTCTTCTCAAAAGGCCTATCATGTGCTGACATTGGTCCTTTACGAGATGGTGACGGCGTTAAGTGGTAAGTCCAGAGTCAACCTTCTCGACGCCATTTTTGAGTACTTTATTGAAGACATCGTGTACCTTGGGTGTTCTATCTGAATCACTCTGTATACCAATCGATTTACCATATGTTTCATTTAAAAGCCATCCTTCTAACATCGTTTTGTAACTCCTGCAAGGTTAGCGGTTAGCAACTATTAATTTTTAATGAGTAGATTTATACGAAAAAGAACAATATCAAAGGTGAACGCATCTAATCGGTTTAAATGATAGTATTTGACCTGAAATTCTTACTGAAGTGTATATAATAGATATATAACTGACAGCTAACCGCAACATCTTAACTACAAATCAATGAACATCGGTAAATCGACATAACAAAAACAATATCAGCCGAATCTAGAAAATACGTAAATGATTTTAGATAAATTTTCTAGTTTTCTAAGTATGGATGGGACTCATGCTGTTATATTGATTGTCTTCCTGGTTAGATATCTGCTGCATTTTACAATCATATATACTAAGTGACATATAAATACGAACACCCAGTTTAAATGGTTTTATTTTAATAAAAGTTGGTGAATGTATTTATCTTACTGTAAATAACAAGTGAAAAAATTTTCAGCCGTATCAGTTGGACATTCCGGTTTTTATACTGCTTTTTTTTAATTCACTAACGCTCTAAAAATGAATATTTCAGCCGCAGTAAAGAATCAACGTTGGCGGATTTTGGTTCTTGACATCCTTTACGATCGGTTACGATGCCTAGAGTACGGAGACCTGTACGATTTCGTCAACTTAGTGAGTTTGATAGGGGCCGTATAGTGGGACTTCGAGAAGCTGGACTTTCTTTTCGGGCAATTGCAGTTAGAGTGCAAAGAAATGTAGACACTGTGGTTAGGTGTTGTCAGGCATGGCTTCGAGAAGACCGTACGCAAAGAGCAAGGGGCACTGGACGCCGCCGTAGAACAACAGACCGTGAAGATCGCCGCCTAAGATTATTGGCCTTAAGGGACCGTTTCTCCACTACCAGGTCCATTGCAAATGAATGGTTTGCCGAACACGGAAGACCTATTGGCATGCGAAGTGTTTACCGACGAATGAGAAGTTTTGGCTTGTTTTCATACCGGCCACACTGGGTCCTCCCTTTAACTCGAGAACACCGACGTAATCGCCTTGAGTGGTACAGACAACGGTCACTCTGGGATCAGGAATGGAACAGTATTGTCTTTATTGACGAGTCTCGATTTTGTTTAGGCATGCACGATGGTCGTGCCAGGGTTAGAAGGCGACGTGGTGAAAGGAGGAATCCACCGTTTTTTGTTGAAAGACATGTTCATCACACTGTTGGAGTTATGGTTGGGGTGCTATAGCTTATGGTTCCAGGTCACCTTTAATCTTCATCAGAGGTAACATGAACGCGCAGCGTTATATCCACGAAGTTCTAGAACCCCATCTTTTACCCTATCTTGACACCCTGGCAGATCCAACTTTCCAACAAGATAATGCCCGACCACATGTTGCAAGAGTCACAATAGACTTCTTTCAACATAATGATGTCACATTGTTACCATGGCCACCAAGATCTCCCGACTTATCCCCAATTGAGCACGTGTGGGATATGATGGGTAGGAGATTGCTCAATTTGCAACGTCCTCCTCAGACTCTAGAAGCACTTCGAAAGGAGTTGGTGGTTGCCTGGAATGAGATACCACAGGAGCACATTGACCACCTGATCAGAAGCATGCCTAGGCACGTTGCAGAATGCGTAGCACATCAGGGTGCATCCACACATTATTAAAGGTCAAAGGGCTTTAAAGCAGTGCAATCATTTTGAAATTTTTATCATTTACTTATTATGCTTCATTAAGTACTTATACAAAATTTTATTAAAATAAAGCCATTCGACTGGGTGTTCGGATTTATATGTCACTTAGTATATTTTATAATTAATCATAAAACTCGCACCTGTCACCTTCATTCAACTGTCCAAAGTTGCGTCCGCTAGCGGATGACGAACACTCCTCGGTGCGCATAATCTCAAACTATTACCCAATCTGTTATTTACAAAGTCCACAAAATACAATGAATATCCTCACAACACTCGACGTCAATCATAAATAAGACATAAGATTGAAGAGCTTTTGTTTATCAAAATCACCAATCATCCCAATTAGACTTTGTAGCGGATTTACGACAATAGTATAAATAAATCCGTGAATAACATCTAAATTTACATTCCCCGGCAGTATGCGTAACCTTGGAAGGAATTATTTCTATTGTAATGCCTGTCTATTTCGCTGTGCTGCAAATATTTTGCCGCACGATTATTTGTTGTTGAGGTGTTTCCGTGTAACGAAATTGCAATTTTCCACTCAGATACTATGCGTGATAATTTCACGATTTCAGCTTTGGCGTACACGTTTTCCACTTAGTGATGCCGCTTTACGATTATTTTCTTAATTGTAGATCGTAGATATGTCAAGTCAAGGTCAACCTTTCATATACTAGGTGACATATAAATCCGAACACCCAGTTTAAATGGTTTTATTTTAATAAAATTTTGTATAAGTAATGAAGCATAATAAGTAAATGATACAAATTTCAAAATGATTGCACTGCTTTAAAGCCCTTTGACCTTTAATAATGTGTGGATGCACCCTGATGTGCTACGCATTCTCCAACGCGCCTAGGCATGCTTCTGATCAGGTGGTCAATGTCCTCCTGGGGTATCTCATTCCAGGCAACCACCAACTCCTCTCGAAGTGCTTCTAGAGTCTGAGGAGGACGTTGCAAATTGAGCAATCTCCTACCCATCATATCCCACACGTGCTCAATTGGAGATAAGTCGGGAGATCTTGGTGGCCATGGTAACAATGTGACATCATTATGTTGAAAGAAGTCTATTGTGACTCTTGCAACATGTGGTCGGGTATTATCTTGTTGGAAAGTTGGATCTGCCAGGGTGTCAAGATAGGGTAAAAGATGGGAATCTAGAACTTCGTGGATATAACGATGCGCGTTCATGTTACCTCTAATGAAGATTAAAGGTGACCTGGAACCATAAGCTACAGCACCCCAACAGTGTGATGAACATGTCTTTCAACAAAGAACTGTGGATTCCTTCTTTCACCACGTCGCCTTCTAACCCTGGCACGACCATCGTGCATGCCTAAACAAAATCGAGACTCGTCACTAAAGACAATACTGTTCCGTTCCTGATCCCAGAGTGACCGTTGTCTGCACCACTCAAGGCGATTACGTCGGTGTTCTCGAGTTAAAGGGAGGACCCAGTGTGGCCGGTATGAAAACAAGCCAAAACTTCTCATTCGTCGGTAAACACTTCGCATACCAATAGGTCTTCCGTGTTCTGCAAACCATTCATTTGCAATGGACTTGGTAGTGGAGAAACGGTCCCTTAAGGCCAATAATCTTAGGCGGCGATCTTCACGGTCTGTTGTTCTACGGCGGCGTCCAGTGCCCCTTGCTCTTTGCGTATGGCCTTCTCGAAGCCATGCCTGACAACACCTAACCACAGTGTCTACACTTCTTTGCACTCTAACTGCAATTGCCCGAAAAGAAAGTCCAGCTTCCCGAAGTCCCACTATACGGCCCCTATCAAACTCACTAAGTTGACGAAATCGTACAGGTCTCCGTACTCTAGGCATCGTAACCGATCGTAAAGGATGTCAAGAACCAAAATCCGCCAACGTTGATTCTTTACTGCGGCTGAAATATTCATTTTTAGAGCGTTAGTGAATTAAGAAAAAGCCGTATAAACACCGGAATGTCCAACTGATAAGGCTGAACATATTTTCACTTGTTATTTACAGTAAGATAAATACATTCACCAACTTTTATTAAAATAAAACCATTTAAACTGGGTGTGGATTTATATGTCACTTAGTATATTTTCACCATTTGAGGACATTTTGACTGTTTGTACTCGTACTCGTTTCCCAAACAGGCGGTTCTTGTTGGGATCGGTGGTGAGCAAGTCGACGAACACGACGCTGTTGCCAGATTTCACGCGCGGTAAAGGTACACCCTATTTTTGAAACAACCCTCGTAAGCTTAATGGTTCTAGGAAAAGCCTTAAAGTGACCTCACATTCGATGAGTACGAGACTCTCCATATAACCCGATGTACCTCAGAGGTGGTGATTACACATAATCCATGTCCGAAAAGACAATCTTGTATTTGTACGCTCAAATCACTTACAATTCAGATGGTAACAATTAGTATTCATGACAAGCATTGTCTGGAATTCCTCAAGTTATCGGAAAATCTGCTTGAACAATTGCAAACGCATTTAAATATGACGTCAAACCTTATCTCGGCATGTGACTTGACTTGTAAGCTCCTACTATCTATCTGATCTATTTGTGCTAAGAAAAAGGCACCTGTATATTATTAATTGATCAAGTTGGGAAGAAAATGCAAGGGACTAGGCCGGAATAAACAATGTTGCGTCTTATTCTGTTTTTCTTTCTATACTTGCTATGTCCCTAGGTACTGAGTGAGAAAAAACAGATAAACAGTTACGTATGTTTATTAGAATTCAAGAATTTTTTACATATCGCCATGAACAAGTGATAAATTGGTCAGGTTTATCTGTTAAGTTTTTGTGGTCGTATATTGCTTTTTTATTTTTCCGAAAATTCCGAATACGGTATGATTACACTGGACAACAAATTTTAGTTGTTTAATTGTATCTTGTTGGAAAAGTGCACTTCTTTGTTAATTTTGGGGCGCTGAATCCAAAAATGACAATGAAATAAAAAAATCGGTTGCGGTTTAGAAAAAAAACTTTTTATTTTTAAGGATATATTAAAAAAAGTAACAAGATTCATATACTTATAAGAATCACTATATGCGCTGTCGTTTTGCTGTTCTTTTATGGATCGTTTCTAGAGCATCTCTACCAAGAGGCCAACAGTAGTCTGCAAGCATGGAAGGATTCCACTTTCTCTGGTACCTTTTTTCCATTGTTGAAATATTCTGATGAAAACGTTCGCCGTGCTCATCACTTACGGCTCCGCAATTGTCAGGAAAAAAGTCCAGGTGTGAGTGTAGGAAATGTATCTTAAGAGACATATTACAGCCCATCTTTTGATACGATGACAGCATATTTTTGACAAGGGCTTTATAGTTGTCAGCTTTTCTATTTCCCAAGAAATTAGTGACCACCAGACGAAAATCATTCCAAGCAGTTTTTTCAATAAACTGTGTATCTTTCAAAATATTTCGAATCTGTGGCCCAACAAAAATACCTTCTCTAACCTTTGCCTCACTTAGTCTTGGAAATTTCTGACGCAGCTATTGAAAAGCTGACCCATCTCTATTTAATGCCTTGACAAAGTTTTTCATTAGGCCCAACTTGATATGCAGTGGTGGTAATAAATTTTTTTTCGAATCTACTAATCGCATATGCTGTACATTTTTTTGACCTGGCTCTAGGAATTGACGAACAGGCCAGTTTTGTCTGGTGTAATGAAGTGCCTTTGTCCGACTGTCCCATTCACACAAAAAATAGCAAAACTTTGTGTAGCCTAGCTGCAGCCCAAGTAAAAGTGCTACAACTTTCAAATCGCCACAAATATGCCATTGGTGCTCATCGTATTTTATGCATGTCAATAGGTACTTCATGTTGTCATATGATTCTTTCATGTGAACTGCATACCCTACAGGAAGAGATGGTAAAATATTTCCAATATGCAATAACACTGCCTTTAAACTCAATGTTGAACTGTCTATAAACAATCTCCATTCTTCTGGGTTATAGTTTATATTTAAAGCCGCCAGTAAGCCGTTAATGTTACTGCAGAAAACCAAGTTATTCTCCATATTGAAAAATGGTTCTAAGTCTTCGTGGCGTTTACGAAAAACACATACCGAAACATCGTCTTCTAACAAGTTCCACTGCTGCAGTCTTGATCCAAGTAACTCTGCCTTACATTTTGGAAGTTCTAAATCTCTTACAAGATAATTTAATTCTGACTGTGTTATTTTGTGCGGTTGGTGGCATGACGTGCTCGGTATAAAATCAGGATCTCTTGACGTTGATGGCATATCTTCTTCCTGACGAATCACTCGATCGCCATGATCTGATTCGTTTTCTGATTCGCAAGAGTAGGATTCTGGGGGTTTTGGAATAGGATTTTCGTCACTGTGAGGCACAGGTCTCATCGCAGATGGTACGTTTGGGTAGTTAATAACCGATTTTTTTTTCTTGGACATACCTGTGGCTTGTCCAACACAAGGTACCATGGAAAAGTAACAATCATTAATATGATTTGTAAGCTCTCTCCAAACCATTGGAACAGCAAAGCGCATAGACCGTTTTTTGCCATTTAACCAGCTCCTCAGACTTGAAGCACATCTATTACAGCAGATGTGGGGTGGCCACTGTTTGTCTTGATCACCTAGTTTACAACCGAAATAAAGCTGATATGCCTTTGTTATTAGTGGAGCAATAGACCGTCTCTGAGACGCAAAAGTCACATCACCACACACGTAACAAAACGGATCTGGATTGTTTACACACTTTCGAGACATCTTGCATGAACGCTGTCAGCCAACTGAAGAAAAAATGGCTAATATAAAACAATATAATGTACACGTATGTATAACGTAACACAATCATGCCGATTACATCATCTTTCCTTGCCGAATATAAAAATGTAGCACGTGCATTCTTGTGAATTACAGTATATTAACACTGTCGCAGCAGGAACGCATATAATTACCGTATCTCTAAAACTTGAACCAATATTGAAAAAATAAGTTTCATTCCGGTTTTAGCACATTAAAAATAGTAATATTTTGTTGATTTTATTTAGGATATTATTTTGCTGTTGATCAGTGTTATTTTATATTAACCGGAAAGTGCATTAAAAGTTCTATAAGTTGGTGAAAATCACAGATCAATACCATCATGTGTTAAAGAGATACGAGGGTGGTCCCAGAAGTACCTGGCCTGACCTAGAGATGGCGATAGTTGTTCGAAAAATATCATTGTGTTAGAAAGTATGCAACCTATAAAGCATATGTGTCAAGTTTGAAGACGCTACGTTGTTTAGTATTTGTTTGGCAGCCGTCAATACTGAACGTTTTCAGTGAATTTGTAAATATGGAGAACATTGGTCATCGTTATGTGGCACAATACTTTTATTTCAAAGGCCTCAGCCCAACCAATATAAAAGCTGAACTGGATTCTACTCTGAGTGAGTCTGCTCCTTTGTTTACAACAGTAAAATATTGGGTAGCAGAGTTTAAACGAGGCCGTATAAGCTGCCAAGACGAGCATCGCAGTTGTCGACCAAATGAGGTGATGACCCCAGAAACGCGAGAATTATGCGAACTTATTGCAACGTTTGAGCGATGAAACCAAGCAAAAACGGCCGCATTTTATTAAGAAGAAAGTATTGCTTCATCAAGACAATGCACCAGCTCACAGATCCGTTATTGCAATGGCCAAAATTAACGAAAAGTTTGAATTGCCACCTCATCCACCCTATTCACCAGATTTGGCCCCCTCGGATTATTTTCTGTTTTCAAACTTAAAAAAATGTCTCAGTAGTCAAAGATTTTCCAACGACGAGGAAGTGATGTCGGCTATTTTGACGAGCAAGACAATTCTTCTTACAAAAAGGGTATCGAACTTATTGAACATCGTTGGGAAAAGTGTATAGGCTCAAAGGAGATTATGTTGTAAAATAATTACATTTTTTTACAAAATTGTTGTGTTTTCTTCGTTGGGTCGGGTACTTCCGGGACCACCCTCGTATATTAAGAAACATGCTTAAATTGCAATTTTCAAGCAATGCTGCATAAGACGGATTTACCCTATGAATATGTGCGTAAAACTGTACCAATATCACAATTTTAAAATGTTTGACTTCAACATTTATTTTCAGGCTTTCTTATAGCGCGTGACGTAGCTATATGCTTATAAATGAAAAAGAATACAGTATTTCTTCAACTATATTTCATATTTGTTTCTCATCCAGTAGTACTTGACAATAAATATACAGGGTGTTTCAGTTTATTGTTGCTTAACTTTAAGATTAGATAGAACTTTTAAAATTAATGCATAAAGTCTATATAAACATGGGTCGAAAAATGCGTGGCTTACGAAATACACGGTGTTTAAATTTACTTTCTAAAATATTTTTTTTTAAATATTTCGAACAATATTTGATGTATAACAGTGAAAATTGGTATACAAGGGTTTTTTGGTACGACAAAACGAATCATGGGCATAGTTTTACTGTAGCCGCTGGAGGGCGCTCTCTACTGTACCTGTAGTGTATTAAAACGACCGAAAAATTTTTCTGAGTGCAATTTTTTGCTTTCTGATTAAAAAAACTGATTCTTTGCACATTTCAACATAAAAAAGCTCTGTTGTGAATTTTCGTTATAGTTAGCCGTTTTTGAGATATTTCGATTTTAAGGTTCGATGCATTTTTAATTATTTATAGGAAAATAATATTTTTTTTACATTTTCGATTTGGGCATTACAAGTAATTCAGATGATCGTTTAGATTGTGTTTTTAAACACAGCAATAATTCCTAACTCCAAATAAACACAAAAAAACAGAATATTAATTTGTTTAATTTTCCAATATTATTTTTAACAAATTAAATTAATTATTTACAACTAAAATGCTATTGAATAGTTAGGACAAACATACAAAATCTAAAGTAGTTGCTCGAAATGTAAACCCAATTGTTCAATACACAATTCACATCTACGAATGATCGAACGTGGTATAGCATTATTCAAATAAGGCCTTATTTCATCTCATGCGTTCCTGACTCTGTCTAATTATAACGAAAATTCACAAGAGAGCTTTTTTATGTTAAAAAGTGCGAAGAATCAGTTTTTTTATTCAAAAAGCAAAAAATTGCCCTAAAAAAACATTTTCGGTCATTGTAATACACTACAAGTACAGTAGAGAGCGCCCTCAAGCGGCTACAGTAAAACTATGCCCATGGTTCGTTTTGTCATACCAAAAAACCCTTGTATACCAATTTTCACTGTTATACATCAAATATTGTTCGAAATATTTAAAAAAAAAAACTATTTTAGAAAGTAAATTTAAACACCTTGTATTTCGGAAGCCACGCATTTTTCGACCCATGTTTATATAGACTTAATGCATTACTTTTAAAAGTTCTATCGAATCTTGCAGTTATGCAACAAAAAACTGAAACACGCTGTATACTAATAAAACCCAAACGTAAATCATTGTATGCTACTTACTTGTTATTGTCATGATTGATCATAAAACGTTCTAATCCACACCCTTCGCCGCGTCGAGATAGAGCCAAAATCACGCAACACCGAGACTGCTCAAACTCAGATTGCGCGCACCATACTTAGCGTCTATTAGCAACGGACAGCTTTGCAGCGAACGCCGAAGTTGATCGCGGTAGGCCGCGGCTGTATGTGACAATCGCGAATCGGCGGCTGAAAGCTCTGAAACAGTCGAGCGTCGCCCGGCTGCCGATCACCGCCAACGCGACCTCGCTGACCGCCCGCCGCCCTTCAACGTTCGTCTTTGATCTATGTTGACAGTGCTGGATTAGACGGTTAGGGCTGTACGATCTAATCACTGTTACGCTCGTGCCAGGGGGGTGGTTGTAGATGCACGATGAATGTTACTTCTGGGGTTCGAAGTGGTTGTTGATTTGGAGGATTAGGGCGCTGGGAGAAATGAAAAGATTGTCAATTTCCAGAGCTTGCACAAAATCTATTTAACTATTTTTAATAAATCATCTGAAGGGTGCTATTACAAAGTTTGCAACAAACTACCTGAAGGGTGCTATGACAGGATTTTCAAGTATTCAAAATGATCACAGTAAGCTCAAAATTTCACTTTGCAATTGTTAATCGATCACCTAACAACAAATGAAATTAGTGACTTACCAAGTTTCCGGGGGTATGCATACCTCAGGATCACACTAGCTGTGAATTTAGTATAAATAATTCATATTAAGTGAAATTAGCTGCTTAAGTATATAGATGCAGTTCGACGGGGTTTCAGCACATGGCGTCTGTGGACATTGGCGACAGCTGAATCAGCTCCCTTCATCAGGGGCTGCTTGGAACTCTCATTTCAGGGCAGGACGTGGAAAAGTCGTCAGGGCTCCATCTGAAGGTATCAGCAGCAGTTTGGTGGAGAAAACGTAAGGTGAAGAAGACGAAAAGTTGGAAGAAGATGAAAAAGGCCTGAAACAAAAATCTAATATGGCGTCGGGTTCCATTTCAACGCAAGCCGAATTGCTTATACTTTATTTGAAGTCACTTGAAACACTGTGAAATGACGGGTGCGTTTTATATATCTATATTTAACACGCTCTGTTGATGCAAAAACCGCCAAATTTCGCAGCAAATATTAGATCAAAGGCAGTTTCACCGGTCCACGTGGAGTAAAGCACGCCTATGCGTGGACATAGCCAATGAGAAAGCGTGTATTTCAGAGCTCCGAACAAGTGCAGGTGGCTACTGAAAATTGAAACAGTTTAGCCAGTGCCGTGTAGCGGTGAATAAACGTATTTTCTTTAGTCTGTCCGTGTTTTTTCATAGATTTTATTAGTTTGTGTGTTTTTGACTTTTGAATACTCAGTTTACTTGTTGATTTAATTGTTGTGTTGATTGTTCTTGTGTGTCCTAAATATGGCTCTTTGGAGATCTTGGGAAAATGCTCCAAGCCACGAGGAGATGGTTGATGAACCTGTGCAGGCAGAATTCTTTCATAAAGATTTAGAGGAATAGACCCAAAGAGTAATCCTAAATATGTATGATTGTCTGAAAAACGAAAATCCAGATTCCTCGCAAAATCAAATTTTAAACAGAATTTGTATCCTGACAAAAATCAGTCGGTCTACCATTTATCGGGTTATAAAAAGGGGAGATGTAGTCAACCATTCCTTCCACAGAAAGCGCATAGGGCAAACATTAAAAAGAATAGACGTGGGTTTTCAGGAAGATATTCGTCGTATAATATACGGATTTTATAAAGAAAATTTGGTGCCCACGTTGGAAATGATACGGGATAAATTAAAAGATTATCCTGAAGATTTTTATAATTACAAATGCTTAGACTCACTGCACTGTATTGTAAAACTGTGTGGTTTTCAATACAAAAAATTAGATAAAAGAATGGTGATTATGGAGTCGTCTCGAATTGTTGAATTGCGCCAAGAATTTTTGCACAAAGTTAAAATCTATAGAGAGCACAAAAGAAATCTGATTTACCTGGATGAAACGTGGTATGATACCCATGATGTTGTGCAGTACGGCTGGGTTGACGACAGCAACAAGTGCATTTTAAATGCACCATGCAACCGTGTAAAACGAATCATTATTCTCCATGCTGGCAGTGAAAATGGATTTATACCTAATGCCTTGCTGTTATCTGCCAAAAATATCAAAGAATCATGTGCCGACTATCATGAGGACATGACCTCCGACTTATTTGAAAAGTGGATAGAGCAGCAGTTAATACCAAACATTTCCCCAAATTCAGTGATTATTATGGACAATGCGCCATACCATTCCCGACAGAAAAACAAAATTCCGAATACAGGCACAAAAAAACAAGACATTATTGATTTTATGAATTATAAGGGAATGGAAATACCACAAAAATCAACCAAAGCCATATTATTGGATCTTATTAAAAGACAAAAATTTGAAAAAGAGTATGTTGTTGACAATCTGCTTCAGCAAAATGGCCATGAAGTATTACGTCTACCTCCCTATTACTGCATTTTTAACCCGATTGAGTTGGTCTGGGCTGCTTTAAAAAAAAAAGTAAGAAAACATAATCAGACCCCTCAATTAAGTGAATCGCTATTGGCCACAATAAGAGATGCAGTATCTCATATTGCTGCCACAGACCTATGGAAGCAGTGTTCTAGGCATATTATTGAAAAAGAAAATGAATATTGTGTTTTGCCTCCTGTAAATCTCGTTGTAATTCCTCTACAAGATGACTCTAGCGACAGCTCCGAAGGCGAGGATGATATATCAATACCTATAATGTAAGTCTTTATATACCTTTTTATATATCTATGCTATGTAAATACTTGCCTATGTCAAACGTTGGAATTCTGTAGTTTTTTCATTTCTTAACTTTCAGTCAACATAAATTAAACTCCCAATATAAGTATTTTTTATCCCAAATCAAAAAAATAAGAAGCCATTTATTGTGATATAAAAACATTATTAATATCGTTCTAAATAAATGACCGCACGCCTATGATACGTCATGAAATTACAAAGTACGCGCCGACCAAAGGTTTTTATGCTATTTCAAGTGACTTCAGATAAAGTATACCTCTGTTGGAGTGTGGCCTAAAAGTGTCGGCTAGAACGCGGTAAAAGCGTCGAAGACTCCCGTCTCCCACATCCCCGTAGGATTATATGAGTCATAAAAAGGAAGAACGCTTAGACTTTATTTGGCGTAAAGATCCGCAAAATGCGTGCTTCTCAACAGAGCTAGTCTTGGTAACCGCTCATAGTGTACAATTTTCAGCTAATAAATCTTGAATTCTGAGGTAAGAGTATGATTTCAAATTAAAACCGTAACGTCACCTTTACAATGTTGTATGCAAATTTCGTGCTGCTACTTCCGCTCCTCTCGGAGAAGCAGGGAAATATTACCTTCGTTGTTAACTATTGTTCTGGAAATAATCTTTATCCCTCGTCCTGGAGGAATGCTTTCGATCTGCGTCGGCTAAATTTAATAATCCTCTAAATTTTTCTGATCTTCGTCCTATAAGCATTTTACCAAGTCTCTTTAAGCATTTGGAAATGGCCCTACATGAGCAGCTGTACAAATTTGTTTGTGAAAATCCACCGCTCGATCTGGTTGCAGACCATTTCATCACAGTATCTGTTATCTGAAAAAAAGTTGTTGGGAACCGAGTACTCAATTACAGAGTGGCACATGTTAACAGTAATTACACACAACGCAAGCGCGGTGATGATTTCCCTTTCTCTCGGCATGATGACTTAATAGCGGCCTGCGAAACCAACATACAAAATATCCAGGTTACTCAAACAGAGCTGTCTTCTAACATTGCTAATATTGAATCGAGACTTGCAAGATCTACAGAGACGATTTACTCAGGCACCTGCGCTTCTTCTACTCCTATTGCCCCAAGCTCCCAAGCTGAGACAATGGAGTTATTTAGACGTTCCCACAATATCATTCTGAGGGGCATAGCTGAAGGGAACGATGACATAAACATAGTATCAGAGATAATTAGGCATATTGAACCATCTGCCGAAAATCACCGACTCAGCATCACTCGCCTTGGCAGAACAACTTCAAGCAATCGTTTAATTAGAGTTGTGTTTTCCTCACCTATTATCGTCAGCAATATTTTGCGGAAGAAAAACTACATCCTTAGCCACCCCACGCTTCGTCACGTAAAAATCTCTGACGATAAAACCAGAGGTCAAATGCAAGAACTACAACACATCCGCGAAGAGCTTAGACGTCGTCGAACAACAGGCGAAAGTAATATTACTATCAAATACGTTCGTGGTAAACCTTCTATAGTACACACAGCTACCCAGGAGATCACACCTTCAAAAAACTGCTAAATTCTGTGGCAAACTGGACGGTTTGTTACACTAATATACAATCTCTCTTTTCTAAGCTACTTGAACTCCAAGCATTTGTTCGAGACAATAATCCAACGTTCGTTTGCCTTACTGAAACATGGCTCCATTCCAACGTGTCCGACTCTTCCATCAATTTGCCTGGATACTATTTATACAGACTGGATTCACCACGCACTCCTGGTTTTGGTGGAATATGCATTTATGTTCGCACGGAAATCGCGTCGGCTTTCTCGGTATCTCCCTCTTTCAGTCCTTTCGATGGCATTGTCAATCTATTTTTGGAATTGAGTTGCCCAAATTTCAGCTTCACGATAGGCTGCATATATCGGCCACGGCCCTGTTTGGGAGACACACACCTGTGCAGTCTCATTTCAGATCTCTTAAATAAAAACACCAACCTTTTCATAGCTGGTGGCCTCAATCTACGTGACATTAGCTGGCCGATGTCAACCATTCCTGAATGCAATTCTTCTTCTGCTGCTTACATCGACTTGCTACGCAACTCTAGCATATCTCAACTTGTTGATCGTCCAACGAGATTCAGGGAAGGACAGACGCCTAGGGCTCTGGATTTGATATTCGTTAACGACGCCGACTTTGTTTCTAATTTAGATTATTTGCCACCTTTTGGCAAGTCTGACCACTGTTCACTTTTATCTTCTCTCCAGTTCAATATAAATAGTCGTTCTACAACCGATAAGTTTAAAACCATCAAAATTGTAAACCACGATGCTCTTAACCAAGCCCTGTCTGAAGTCAACTGGCCTGCTTTGCTTAACAACCGTAGCACCCAAGATATGTGGGACACTTTCGCTCAACGAGTCCTAAGCGAAACGGCTGACAATACTGTTGAAAAGAAGGTATACTGTGACCCCTCAAAGCCCTGGATCAACTCTAACATATCGA